TAGGTTTCGCTAATCATAAGAGGAGCTATTGTTTGCACGTCGGTCCGAAGGAATAAGCAAGTATCTGTCAGTGGACTGGTGACAACATCATTCTAAAAAAGCGATAAAACAAATCGTGTAGGATTTTTTGCTAAAACCAATTACAGTAAGCTAGAAAATTACAAATTCAACAAACACCGACTCAATTTTAAAATAATACAAAAGGAAGCATTTATGTTTATCTTACGTTTCTGGTGAGCAACCTCGTTCTAATAGTGAAAGGCGCTTTTGAGTAAACCGGGATATTAAATATCTTCTGAGCCAAAAGGTCATTCATGCTAACGAAAACCTTAAAAGTAGAATAAAGTTTATAACCTACTAAAAATTCACTTTAACAAAGATTTCAGTGTCAAATACGTAATCTTCACTGTAGCCTAAGTTTAAACAAATGCATCTACAGACAATTTTAATAAAAACGATCGTCCTTCTAGATTTGAGTCTTGTTATAAATTTGTGATGACTATATTTATTGTGCCTTTTAAATTTTAGAAAATTAGAAGAATTGACCAATTTGAATTCAAGTCAGTAAACAGCAAAAAAGTAGTAAAAATCCCCTCTAAAAAAAATTTTGCAAAATCACTAAATATTTCACTTCCACAAATAATAAGGTTGTTGGCGCTATGAGTACTTTCACTTTGCAGTTCCTCAAACGAGATGATGAAGCAGATTTTGAAACACTAAAAATACTCCATAGTAAACAGCGGAGAAGGTTAGGGAAGAATGAAGGGGTGAGGTGCAGAAGCAAGTGGAAGCAGAAAGAGAAGGCAGGAAAGGCAAAAAAGAATGCTTAATGCGGACATCTGAAAAATTTTTTTCTGCCACGATCGTGCCACAAATTATTCCTCAGCTATTTTTTTAAGCCTAACTGTTGTGCCAAAAAATTACAATTGTGTGCAAAAAATTCGTCATTCGCTTTTGCGAGAGAATTGAAAATTGTACTTATGAGAAGTTTATCAAGAATAATTAGTCACCAAAATAATCTTGATTTTTCTGGTTACATTAAAAAAACAGTTGAGTAATACTGAAGCAGCAGAAAAGCTGGAACCAGAAATGAATGCCGTAACCAAATCCTTCTCAGCTATGAATTTATCTGAAATTAATTTGGGATCAAATCCTAACGCCCTAAAACTACAAAACAATAAACCCTTTGCTTCACAATATTACTAGCATTGTCAAAAACGCTTTCTTACAAAAATGAATTAACGAGGATAAAACGGACTGAAAATGATACTTTGGAAAATGACAAAGAACAACAGAGACTTCCTTGATAATGACACTAGTAAATATAAAACCTCAAGAACCTCCTGCAAGAGAAACAAAAAAAAAATTTGGACAGATACCTAAGCCATAAATCGCTAATATTTTTATCAATTCTAGTACATTTTTTAAGACTTTTTACAAATTTGTTGGCTCTGCTATTCCACTTTCTTGCAGTGTAAACAACGCCACCGACGATACCCCTGAGAAAACCTCACATCTTACTGTCCATAAAATCTACTAGCTAAAAAAACTGCAATTTGCTAAAAATGAAATAACAGAAGAAAGGAGCGATATTGTGAAAAGAAGCAAACATAACAAAAATTTAAAAATCCAAAAACAAAGCAAAAGAAAAATAAGAATAAATGAGACTGGGCTGAAGTTGGCAGGTATCTGAGATACTCCTACAGTTGGCGGATGCTCACGGTGCTTCCGTCGGTGTATGGTTACTCCTTAGAACTTTTTTATATTTGCTAGAATCTTGTACCAAATGTGTTCCAAAACAGCAAATGCTTTTTAAACAACAACAACAAAAAAAACTGTCCTGGAAACTCTACTAAGAATGTTTTGTGTACGCCTTCATTAAGTGCAAGAGTCCCAAATTTGTGAACTTCAGCAAGGTGGAAGGCGAACAAAGCCCTACGCCAAAGCGCAGCCTCCGCGAACAAGATTACTTCAAGGGGAACCAAATCTCTGCCCAAAACAACCAAGAACTGGAGGAGCGAGAGAAACCCTAATAAATGCAAAACAACTATAACAATAAATCGTGATATACCTTCAGCTCTATTGAGAGCGAACCTGTAGTCTTAGCGCAGTATCGAAGATTTAGAGAAACCTAAAAGAAAAATTAAAAACAGGTTTTGAAACCACGTAGCTGTAAAACGTAATATGCTACATAACAAAAAAGAGAGGCCTGAAACAAAACAAAAACAAGATTCAAAACTGTTCCTAAACAAATGAGCATTGTTGTCATAAACTTTCACTCAAAAACTGGAAGTCAATAATAAAGCAACATTTATTTAAAACTGATTACTGTAAGAGCGATTGTGAGGTTACCTTCGAGCCGACAACTAAAATTTGATTTGAGTTTTCAAAAACATAGGTATCTTCCGCTGCCATACAACCTTCTTGAGTCAAAAAAAGAATTGGATCCAAAGTACTTCCATCCAAATTTATGGATTTGCATTCTATTCTGAAATAAACTCACAAAAAACGTCCAAAAGTCTACAAGCTTTTTGAAAAGAAAAAACCCAAACGAACCACAACAGTAAAATTATCAAGTGTAGGCAGTTGTGAAGAACTAAATATCGTAATCACTCTGTAAATATCTCATTAAACTAAGAGATTAATTCTGATAAAAGAGCAAGTTAAACAAGCTTAATTCTAATATTCTAGAGGAAAAATATAATAACATTTTGCGTGCAAAAGTAGGACATAATTCCAAAAATGAGCCGTTTTTCCCGAAATAATTATTAAGATATAAAATTTATACCATACATTTTAAAAAAGGTACGAACTAGTATAGACAAGCAGACAAATAATCCCTCTCTTGCTCAGTTATTAGGCTATTTTTAAGAACGTATTACGGCGGCTAAATACAGCAAAGCTCTTGTCGCTTAACTAAGACAAAGTTACTCAAAAAATTTTAGCAAAAATGTTTCCTAAAGTATAGGTATTGTGACTAGGCAAAGCCCAACTCAATCCGGCAAGCTCCTTTTTTAGCTTACACACTTATTAGCAACTAAAATATCAAAGATTTTCAAAACGCCGTTAGCTGCACAATGAAGTAATGCATCAAGCAATCCTTGTTTAGTTTTACTCAGCAAAATATCAAAAAGTTAAAAGGCATTTTTGAATAATTTGAACATAGACTAATATTTCCAAAATCCTTTTCGTTAGTTCTTATTTTTCAATGCTTGATGAATATATGTGTGAAAATACAGAATAAAATCAAGGTGAGCAATAAGGTTGTTATTGTACAAATTTTTTTTAGATGCTATCTATATTCAAAACAACTGTTCCCTGCCTTTGATTTAGGTAATTTTTTTCCTTACATGCGTTTTTAATATATAGTTTCAGTATCGATACCGGTGCCAAATTAATTTTTACTGCTCACAAAAAATGCGAAAAACGTCGGGACCTATTTCGTTATGAAGCCAAACAAAGATTTCTTGTCTGTATAATCAAGAAACTAATTCACAATTATTTTGAATTATAGTAAAACGCTTGTTATCCTAGTCGCTCAAACTAATACTATTTTTAAAGGGTGCATAAACAGAATTTTGTTACAAGCTTAGGTCGTTTCATAAAGACAAGTTGTATCTAGTTTCCTTGAACTCATTAAGAGGTATAATCTTAAAGTGGGGATTCTGCAACAAGCATTTTAGACAGACATTCGACAAAGAATTGAAGTCTTTAGACTGCAGAAGTGCTCTTATAATACTGTACCTCATTATACAGTTTACAAATAGGCCTCTCTACAGATCTAATATAAGATATGGATGATCCCTTGCCAATCAGTATGCTTCTTCCAGACAGTCTCATATAATCCTTAAAAGCAAACAACACCTAGCGGCTAATTCTTGATTCAAAAGGAGTAAGACTTAGTTCGGAACGTTTATGTGGAACAAAGCCAGGGTTAGCTGAACTAAGAAAAACGGAAGACTATTGCTCAATGACACTATGCTTAAAAGGTCGCAAAATGCTAAATCTGAACGAGTAACCTTCAGTTTATTCAATAAAATTTGTAAAAATGTCGCTTTTAATAACGCTTAGAAAGCTTGATCGTCTATCAAAAACAAGATTTATATAACTCTTAAAATAACATATCTTAAAAGACTTGAAAAAACAATTTTCTTAAAGAACTTTCTACGATAAGAAAAATCAAAAATTAGGATTTTAAACCGGTGAAATTAACGGTTACTATACAGAAAAGCAGGAAGACATCGACAAAACACCCCCATTTTCAATGCCCTATCTTATCCACTTCGAGGCATCTGCAAGTGGAACTGCAAGACACTTTTTTTGTTGCTATTTTCACGCTTTTCTTAAATTAATATCTCTCTAAATGACGCCCTATTGTTTCTGCCATCCATTTTACTATTCAGGTGTTTCTCAATGAGGTCCGTAGAAGCTGAAGGCAAGTGCAAAGCGACAAAGGCGATGGGGCCGTTAGTATAAAGTACGCAAAGCTAAAAGGATAAGTCTCAGAATTTGCAACTTGGCAATCAAAGAGTGATGTGATTTGAAATTCAGAAGAAAAAATGAATTAGGCACTAGCTTTAAGTGGTACACCAAAGAATATGATAATTCACATTGTCTTTGGAAAAGTGAATAAAACAGTTATAAAGCGGTAATCAGCACAACTGAACGTGAAGAGATGTGAAAGGATAAGAAGAATCCGCAAAAGACAATAGCAAAATGTTTACTGGAAAAGGTAACAAATCAAAACAATGAGAAACACAAAGCTACCAAACTCCACTAGTCCTGTGCTTCTGTTGTTGTTTAATTATACTCCTGGCTTTCAGAAAGTGTTGGTTTTATTAATTTCCTTCTCATAATTGTTACGAAAATGCATTTCCATGAAAATGAGGCAAATCAAATAAGTAAATTAACAGAAGCAAGACCCGAACTACAAAGTGATAAAGTAAGGAGAAACCTTCTAGAAAGTCGATACACCACCCTAACTTACAAGCTTATTAATCTTACCTCGAATATGCAACTGGATTCATCTCTTCAGATATTAACTGTAATGGGAGAGTTACAATTTCATCAACCAGAACATTTTGCTCTGGAAAACTCTGAAGCCGAAGTTGTACTTCTTTCGGTTTAACTCTGTAAAATCCTAATGTTTGTTAACTATGTGCACTTGAACTCCAATATGACAAATGTACCGTTACTTAAAACTTACGTTACTAAAGCTCTCCCAATGTTCCCCTCTAAAAAGGAGCGTTTAAAAGGAATGATAAAATAACTATTAGACAAGGACTGCGAATCCCATTCAAAAGTACCAAATACAGAAGAATGCACAGATCCCATTTCCAAAGTCAGTCCACTGACCTAAAAACTTGCATTAACGGTACAGTCAATCTAAAAAATAAACTGCAAGTCAAATAGGCGAAAAATAGAGAAACTCACAAATATTTTCCTAACTGTCTGAAATTTTTCAGGCAATAGGGGCATATGAAAAGACAGAACTTTTTCCATGCCCGGAACCAATTCTACGTTTTCTGATATAAAATCAAATAAGTTTGACTGCTCCACAGCAGGCACTGTCACCCCATCACAGACGCCAACATGCAACTTATCAAATGTGACAGGAATAGATGTATGCGACAACAAAGTAACCTGGGATGAAATGAGTCAAATATTACTTAAACCAAGTAATCCTAGAGGTGAGAAGGTATAAATAACAGTTTTGAGCAGAAAATGAGCAAAATAAAGAACTATTAACTCACTGTAAGAACAAGGCAAAAGCCACTGCACAGCACTTCATCTCTTGTCAAAAATGCTGCTTCAGCCTGAATGAATGTTGCTAGACGAGCACAGTTTATTGTAAAATATACCCTTTGAGAAATTTTCTCGGTCCACAATTGTTGGTAAGCGGCTAACTAAAAGAAAATGAAAAATCAAGTTAACTAAGCCCGATACGCATAAACTGGTAAAACGATGAGGCAACATCTTTGTCTTGACATTAAACAATAGAAGGAATATAGTTTTCCTATTCATTTTAAGTGGCTCGAAGAATGAAAAATGAAACATTGCGATATCATTTCTGGAGAAGAAAATCTGAATTTTACTTGAGAGTCCGTTAGAAGAACAGAAGGCAAAGGCACTGCAGGTGGTAATTCATGTCGAATTAAGTCCATATTTTTAGCAAGGTAAGGTACAAATGCATTAAAACTCGGGTATTTGTAAACGTTCATCATCTGTATAGTTGCTGATATAAATTCCTTTATGTCTGCCAGAAAGAAAGCAGAGACCAGAGCTTTAGACAGCACAACACTGGCTGCTCCGTAAAACCCACCCAACTGTCGTTCCCATAAAACATGGGAAATTAACTGTAAACCATACAGTAAACAACTTAAATTCCATATCTGATTAAAAGTCGGAACACCATTAAAAATACCTGGAGAGCTTTATCATGAAGCTGCAACGCTGTATACTCATCAGCTATTAAGAGCATTGCATAACAATGCATACGATTACACTTATATTTTCGATGATGAGCCATTGCCGAAGTTAACAAATCAATATTCTGTTTATGATTAGGACTACATCGCATCTAAAAATACACCTTTCCGAATCAAACTTCTCTTCACAAAGCAAAATTTAAAAGTCATAAGTAATGCGAATTTCAGTACTTGCAGAAGAACAGTTTGAAAAGTAGAAAAGCACAGGGAAAAAGGAGGAAGACACACTTCAAGGGCTATCCTTGCATTTTCTTCCGTTACTTCGTCGGCAAGTCCACCACCATCAACCATCACTCTCCAAGGTCTTTGACCGTAAAATACAGGTGGACATTGAGGATCAAGAGGGTCTGGATGAGGGTACTGTAGTAAATTATGTTTGCTCTCGTTAGCCGTCTTTAAAGCAATAATTTGTTTGTTAGCATACGAGCGGTAATCAGCGGCAGCTTGTAGATATAACCCAGGATTTTGAGTTGATACACCGGCGAGACCCATAGATACTGCATATTCAAATAACTCCGCAAATATAGCACACTAAAGTAAGGAGAACTTATTTTAAATAATAAATGAGACAGAAGTACGAACTCCAAAAAGAAGTAAAGGAAATTCAACCTGTTTACTTTTCCATAAGGCAAATTCTATTTCTGCTAGCTGTGGGGATGGATACGTACCAGGAGTAGATGAAAAAAAAACTGTAGCATGCTTCCTCTGTTGAGTAATGGCCTCCAGAGCGGTGCTGTGCAAAAAAGAAAGCTGGCATATCTGTCAAGATAGAAAACTTTAACTTACAGGGACTGCGTTAATCAAAACCTTGAAATGAAACTACAGAAAAAGTTGAAAGAAAATTTAGTTGAGGTTTCAACATGCAAAGTTATATCGACTAATAAATAACTAAAACAACCGAAAACCTTAAAATTAAGTAATCCTGCAACGTTAAGTAATTCATATATTTCGGTATCAACCATTTCACACTCAGTACAATGTTGATATGCGAGTTTATAATGCCTGAAATCCCACCACAAGTTTAAACACAAGAAGAAAGATTGTTGCTAAATTTAAAGCTCCACAATGAAAGCAAGGCTACTAAACAATCAAATAAGCATACTTTATACGATCAAGTGAAAGAGCTTTGAAAATAACTTCAAAACCTTAAAGCGGTGTGTGTGTCCTGCCAAAGCTCTGAAACAAATGCCAGTTTAAACTGCTGCCGAATGATTAAATTGGAAAAATTATTCGGGGTTGATCGTGCACGAATAGACTTTAATAACTGCTGATAAAAACCCTGTGCTAGTTCATGAAATGCAGCTTCCAACCTTAAATATGGTGTAGAAATAAAATGGAATTCTAAACATTCAAATTTGGTTTTCTAAGACAATCAGTGTCATAATAAAGGGAATTTATAAGGACCCAAATTACATCCTTAATAAACCTTGATAATTTATCAAAAAATCTTTAAAACCAATTAAAAGTTGTAACCTGACGACATAACCGTGAAGCTGCTCAACAAAGGGAAATACAAAAAGCTGCTTTTGAGGAAGCTGACATTTTTGACACAACTTCATGCCACGCTCTGAATCAACTGCAGAGCTCTGACGCTGTAGTAGGACAAGGCAGATACGTGTGCCACGATTCCCGATACTTGTCCTAAATCGAATTTTCCAGTTTTAGAAGGAAACGAAACAAGATTACAACAGTTAATGTTCTATATAAAAAGTGAAAGAACGGGAGTGCAAGAAGTTGTTTTCTTGGACTGAGCCAAACCTCAAAATAAAAGCGTAACAGTTAACTTCTGACTGAGCAAACTAATTACCCAATAAAGTAAGAAAAACCTTAGCGATGACACCTTTGACTCGCACTCCGTAACTTTCTCATCCCATGATGGATGATTCCAGTCCAGGTCAGCAAACAAAACAATTACAGCCGGTATCTCAGTCACATATTTTGACAACCAGCTCATTTTTATAAAACCGCGAGGTGACTTCGGAAGCTATAAGAAAAGGTTGCTGTTAATAATTCGTTCACTAGAAGCATAAAAATCTGTTGTTCTAGAAATTCAGCAAATACTCCTTAGACATATCTTTCCACTTGATCATTCTTTTATAAAATGTGAAAAAAGTTCAGAAGAACAGGGTAAACACAGGTAACCTTCGGCTTCGGATCTTTCATTGCATACATAGAATTCTCGGCAGTCAGCATCAAGATCCTTAACGGAGGTTGGTCCGAAGCTCGATTATGTACAAAACAGGAAAAAACTGCCGCATGAGTGGGATTGTTCGCAATATCAAGGCCGGTAAAGAGAATAAGTTGCTGCTGCCGGCAAGGTGCTAGTTCTGGTGGAATATCCCCGCTCTCCATTACCCTTAATTCAATCGCCGTGAAGATTTATAGAGAGGCCAAATAAAAGCCCTTCTCAGCGACTAACAGCAACAGAGCTTTGGTAAATAACTCCTTTACGAAACCAGCAACAAATTTAAAACTAGTTTGAACCTTATGCTGCAACATATATAAGTTCTTCCACATCGAATTCAATGTTTTAACCATAAAAACCTGCAGCCTTAATTGTCATATTAAACAGAAACTCAGGTAATAAAATCTTCAACAGCTTTTCCAGCTTCTTCCGCTTGTTCCCAGTGGAAAGCCTCAAAATAACAGAGTATCAAATCGAAACAATTCGTCACCACTCTCATCCTTATTTAGGCAATGAACCCTCAAGCCTCAGCTTGGCAACATCACTACCGATTACTCCAGTTGGCAACATTTCACCCCAACTGGCAAAATTCCACTACACTCAGCAACCTATAAATACTTTGCACAAGAACCTAGCCACTTTTCACTCGTACGCTACAAACTGAGCTGTCATCTTGCAAGAACAGCCACACTTATACATGGCTCTAATGGAATCCAGCGATCTCTACACTCTTAAACTCCAAGTTCCTGAGCAATTAACTTTCTATTTATGTCTTGAAACGTCGGAACTCTGCACAGCCGCACCTCATACAGTTAGAAAACAAACGAATACCAAGAATCATCTCCGGCATTTTTCCAACTGTAATTCCCACTTCAAAACTATACAAAAAAGCTTAATGAACACTCCTTCCCAATCACAAAATTTTTTATGCAAGACGATAAGGAAAATAAAGAAGGGAAATCTAAAGTTATTTCAACGTGGGACACAGAAAAACAATACAAAATTTATCAACACAACAAAACCAAGCAGTGCAACGTTATCAACACGTCATTTTTTAATTTAAAATACGAAAATTCTGTAGTGAAGTATTTAAACCAATAACAATTGAAACTGGTATTATCTGAATGCCGCAACTTTATAAACCCCCCATCCATGATAACGTATCACTTAGCATAACCAACTCATAAATCCAGCAGAACGCAATCAGTCTTCAGTATCGATTGAGAACAGCATGAATACATCCAAAAACAGTTCAGTTCAGCTGAAAAAAGGTTTTTCAAATGTAAATAAAATAACGATGACAATGAAAAAAAATGCGAGAGAACTGAATGAACATTGGTTTTTACCGAATATAAAGTTATGTAAAAAGACGACCTGAAGTTGATAGTGGCAAAGCAGTAAATACAATACTAAAAAACATAAAATTATTCGAAGTATCACATACCTTCTTAAACCCAATGTCGCCGGCATATTCTCTGAAACATCGACGGCACATATTAAGACCATATTTCCTGATCAGACCATGGTGATTTGAGCATACTCGGCTGAAAACCTTGAATTATAAGAAACTCCATAGCTTTGCAAACCATCACTTCTCGACTACTCCTTGGAATTGCACATGGCAAAAGAAAAAACGAAATCCTCATCGGCTGGAGCAGCTTTTATTCAAATAAGCTGTTCCAGTTCGTTTCTCTCACAGCTACTGGTTATAATGGAGAGATGACACAGATCAATTATTTCTATTTTTTACGTGCGAAAAAAATTATTCAAAACCTTCCCAATGCTCTCAAAAAAAAAAAGAATTATGGTAACTGACTAAAACTTCTTTCTTAAAAAAATTCTTCATTCAGACTTGATTTACCATTCAGTTACTATAACCACAAGCTAAACTCACCAAGACCTTGAACCAGGACCATACTTTCGAGGATGCGAAAACCAAATATTCTGATGACCCATATTGCGCGTTGAACAAAACTACCTGCAAAAAGCAAAACCTTTACACTTTTCATTCATAACTCTAATATTTCTATTTCAGCCAAAATCCTGTAAGAATCACAAACAATGTTTCTTACAAAAAAATATTTTGTTTTCTGAATTATGCACAACCTTTGAAAATGTAAATTTCGTGGCAACTCGTTGACAAACGCCGCACAGCATAAAAATTTTTTAAAAGTTCTCATCCACTTAAACTGCCCAAAAGCAGCCCCAGGCGCTGCCCATAAACTGTAACAGGAACAGAAACTAGTAACTGCCAATCGCAAAATCCATTCCTAGCTTTTTGAAGGTGAAACAGAAAACCAACCCCACTTTTTTGCAACTGTTTAGTACGCATAAAACAGACCACTAATTAATTTCAGAGAAAAATTTTGTTTTTTCATCAGTTACTAAAAAACACTCAGCCTCTAAAATGTCTCGGGAGAAGCATTTCAAAATTCAAAAAAAGTCTATGCAACGCATTAGCGATAATGTATCATGCTCACCTACTACCAATAAAATTACTAGTTACGCTTTTAAACAGCTAACAAGCGAGAATTTTATTGTACAAAAATACGGGATTACTATCCCAGTTCAAAAGTGTCATTAGCAAAGCACCTCCAGTGAACTCTTGCTATTTGTACTCATTGACCATAGCAGGCTAAAGTCCGATGGCTCCTCTTCGTAACCGCTGATAAAAAACCAGTTTGAAATAAGGTTTATGCAGTGAAAATGACCAATCTTAGAAAAACCAATTTTAGCTTGAGCTAGAACTAAGCAATTACGCCGAAAACTGACTGTTCTCTCAGAGTACCCAGCAGTCAAAAAATCCACATTTCTAGCTTTAAAAAAAAGGAAGTTAATGGTGCTACGAATAGCTTTTTGGGCTGACAAACTAGAACCCCAAATACTAGTGTAACACTCTATCTGCAACTGTCTCAACGTTAAAAATCATTCGACTCGAATAAACATAATTTCTTTTTCTCAACGACAATTTTTGCAACAGAAAACATCTATTTTACAGTTATCACCTCATTATTTGCACTAAACCAACAACCAAAAAAAATGACAGATGAACAATACTTCCCGAATCGTCCAAACACGTTGGGGAACTCAGCACGGATACTGAGTTCTCTTTTCCTATAGAATAACTACAGTAGTCAACAAAAAATGAGAAAATCGTGCCAATTTCACCTGTGCTGATAGCAGCCAAAATACTCTGCAGCAAAAACAAATCTGAATGGCGAGTTGCAGCTTATAAAATGTTAGGGGAGAGTCACTGGAAGTGGGAGGAATTGGAATGAGGAAGTAGTGAGTTGTTTTAAGAAAGTTTATTGGCACCGTAATGAAATACATTAATTTGCAAAACCCATAACAAAACAACAGTAATTAAAAATCGATGAAATAAACAACAAGAAGCTAATTTTAGACAACATCATCATGACCTCGTATTTATCTTGTAGAATCCGCTTGATTTTTCATACTTTGTAGGACCGCGAAATGTCCACGGTAAAGCCGTCATATCAGGTCATTATCACTATCTCCTGTCTTACATTCGATGAGCTTTTGGCTGTCTCCAAGTCGAGTGCCTTTTTTAGCAAATCGAAAAATACGATTTCTTGAATGACATGTTCGAACTAACCGGCGAAAAGCGTAAAATAAAAGAATCACCGATACTGCAGAAAGAGCGCCGATTAAAGCTGATAGTGAATAAGATGTATCTCTTGTCTCTCTCTGAAAAAATGAAATTCAAGAATGAAATTAACAGAAATTTTTTGAACTACTTACTAATGATGCTACTTTACCAAAATAAGATATATTAAGGGAAAGTACTTTAAATCCTAAATTATCCTTCTTGTTACACAATGAACAGTACCTCAACTGAAATTACCAAGCACACCTATCACAAATGACAACATTGCTGCAATTAGTCAAAACTAGTGGATTCAATAAAAATGTCAGAAATTTAGAAAACATACTATCCATTCCTGAACTTTCTGACGTGTACTCTGATAAGCAGAAGCAATTGCTTGACCTGGATGTAAAAAATGCGAATATTCAGTATTTTTTGTCTCGCGCACTTCTGTATTATTTCCGTCGTTACACCTGCAGAGATTAATTTGGCTTGCTGCAGTAAGGTTTTTTTTCAGACTTCTAGAGAGAACTTCTGTCCTTTGAGAGCCAAGCTCAAATTCTTTGATGAATCTGGCCGGTGGAGTCGAACTAATAATTTTCATATGTTTAGCCGGACTGCACAGTGTAAGCCCGAGAATTGTTACGAATATCAACAGAATATAAGCCATGTTTCCGAAATCCTAGACGCTACAGTATGGTAGGCTTAAAAAAACAACATTGTTACCAAATATAGACAGCAGAAAGCGAAAAGATAGTCAAAGAGTTTTGAGAGTTGGACCTGAAGTACTAAGTCAACCAAGTATGTATATTAGAAGCTTTAAACTGAGAAGCACCGTAAAAAAAACTTTTGAAATTGAAAATTTTTATCGTTGATTCTGCTACATACGGATGACGTCATAATTGTAAACCTCGCCACTTCAGAAACTCAGAAACAAGAAAAACAGCTTCTCCAATCTTCTATAATGATTTTTTCAAGAAATGCTCCAGAATTATAACCAGGTGTATTTTGCTACAGCCACAAGGGTAGTTTGAAGAAACCACCTTTTCTGAGGCATAATTTAAACATTTTGAATAATTGTGTTCTACCTCAGAGGTAAGCCGGTGACAGTTTGATGATCTTCTGCAAAAATCATTCTACTTTTTTTGGTGGAAGAAAACAATTCTTAACTTTAGTCTCTCTAAGATTCCTTCAAGAACTTTATATTCTCCTTTTATTGCTTGGCTTATGGTGCAGTCGCCTCAAAAATCAACACCTCTTCATAGACTCTTTAATGCAGGATGCGACCTAAGTCAAGCCTGGTAGCTGTATGGTGTCTGACTTTGAAACATGTAAAGGTCAAACTTGTGCAATAAATTTAAGGAAGATTTGTACGCGGTTTAGCAACACTGTTCTCGAAAGAAACACTGAGTACGTAGCAGACAATCAAGTTGACACTATATTCATAAAATTATTCATACATTTAGCAGGCATATTGCTTTTTTTCTTTTGTTTTTGTTACAGAAGGGTTATTTTTTCAAATTAGATTTTTGTAAGCCTTTAGATTGCCCTTGAAAGTCTATTGCCTCTACCATTTAGCTTCCTCTAGGAAGATCATTTTACGACGGATTATCTTCAAGTTGCCAGACATTAAGAATTTTCCTCGCTGGTGCAGAAAGCTGCAGTTCGTATTTAATAAGAGTAAGGGAATGAAAAGAAACCTGATGTCTGGAATGGAAGAGAAAAGGCATATCTTAAAATCATTGTCGATACTGCTGACAAAAGTCGTGCCATCTAAAGGAAATTTCAGTAAACGCTCTTTTTTGTTTTATTTTTTTTTTAGTTTTTTAACACCAGGAGGGGTTAATTATGTCTAAATATAGAAAGAAAAAACGTGAAAAATGATGTTTTAGGAGCCCATTGATACGCTGGAAAGCTTATTTTATGTATTCTTTGAAGGCTTTTAATGCGTTCGACATCTCAACTTGCAATATAAACAGCCTCTCTGCAGCACTTAAAATTGTTCTTTAGATTCTGAACTCTTGTTTCTAAGCTTTGGGATGTTTTTTTCTTTTTTTTCTTTTTTTTTTTCGAGTTTCTTTTCGAACCTTTTGCATTTTAACATCTGAATGTTTACCTCATTTCAAATAATATGCCTAAGTTTCCTGAAATGAAGAGAAAAATTTTACACCATTCTAATTTGCATTTTGTTCGCCAGATAGGCAGGAAAGGATTTCGTTTTTCGAGCGTTCTCACTTATATGAATAAGGGGAAACATGTGTACACTGTTGACTGATTCTGGCTGTTGGAAACACTTTTATTGCTTGATAAGAAATTGCAAGCATCATTTTTGGCTTCTTTTAGCATTTCTATATCATTTTACTTCTACGATTACACGCTTTCAGAATTTTTTGTTCATTACTTTTGTTAATGAATCACGAAAACACAATTTTCATACCGTTTTCTTATTTTCAATTAGTAAAACTATTTTATTTTCTGGATTCTTGATGTTGTTACTGTTGTCATCGTCATCGCCGTCGCCATCATTGTCACTGACATCTGTGCTGATACTGCAATGGTGCACGGTGATGCCGATGGCACATATTCTATTCGTCGTAATTCCTGACCATCATCAGTTAGAATGTCGTACTTTTGCAGTTTATACTTAACTCTCATATTTAAACTTGCTTTTCTACAATAAGAAAATTTACCTACTTAATTATAAATCACTTCTTTTGCATCTCTTTCTTTTAGCTCTTTTCAAAGTGCTACTTTTTTGAAAAAAAAAAAAAAAAAAGTTTTAGTATACTGCAGAAAGCCATAAAGAAGTAGAAATTGAATGAAGGATTGTAAATTGGCATTAATTTTGCATTGGTAATTGGTATTCTATTTTCAATTGTTAGTTATCTGTATATGTTTGATAAATATTTTTATATTTGATAGCTGATGCTAACGTATGAGCTGTACGATAAATACCGAAACTACAGCTTGAATGCATCAGAAAAATTGTTATATTTGAACTACTTATAGGGAGTTCGTTTTGGTACTCTCATATTTTATGTTTATTCAGAAGTTTTTTTTTTTCTTTCAATGCTAAATGATAGCTGCTGAATCTTAAATTAATGCTCATCTTTTGTTTTCTAACTATTACTTTTAAGTATTTCGTTCTTCTTCTTCTGGATTACAGTGTCTTCAGAAAATTAAGCTAACCACTTCAAAATACAAAAGGAACCCTGCCTCTATTATTTTTTTTTCACAGCATAATTTTTTAGCATGTCATAAATTTGAAGCACTGTTTAGATGGTATTTAAAAAGCCTTCTTTAATAGCGATTTTTAGAGGTTTTTTTCTTTTTTAACAATATTTAATTTGATGATTATTTAGGAGCTAAATTTACTAAAAGGATTTCTTCAAATAAATCTGCCTTATGCACTAACTTACTAAGGTTTCTTTAAGGTTCAAAATTTTTTAGGCTAATAGGCGGTTTATTATGGGCTGTTGTGTTATCAGGGAGAGGGTTTGTTGATACGGCAATAAAGTTCAGAAAACCAACTTTACACTCGTTTTTAGTCAACTGTAAAAATTAGGAACTGCTTTTAGGTTTTTGAAAGCTAACAGAAAGGATGAAAAGGTGTAATGCATCAATTTCAATTTCGTAGAAGTTGTAGAAGAAATTAGGTTTTATTCAAAAAATTATTGACTGCTTTTAGCACTTGTTTCTAAGTCATAATTCTCTTTTGAACAGCTTAACAGTTAAATTACTCGAATTTGAAATTAGTATAGATTAATAGCAATATTCCCAAGTGCGTCTTTCTATTATTTATCATCATAACTCCCAAGCCAAGACGAGATCGATTGGTGAAAAATGAACTAAAAGCTGTACATGAAAATAATTATTTCTTCTAAATTTAATAATATCACTGTCTAAAACTTCGGAAGCAGTACTTCCGTCAGTTGCAAATTGCAAAAGCACTATGTGCTGCCAGAGATCTGACTGGTGACAATGATGTACTTTAACACTGGAAAAGAATTGTTTCAAACCTGCTAATACTCTGTTTGTAAATAAGAATTTTCTAGAGGTTCTTTGTTTTTAATTTTTGCCATCTTTTCTGAAGGAACTGCATAGCAAAGCAAGATAAACAATTGGTAGTTAAGTCAAAGGATACTCGTATTAAACGACAAATTTATGACCTTTTTTTATTTATTTTGAATAAACTTCAAAAAAAATTTTGAGAATTGATGCTGGGCTTTTCCTTTGGCGTTTACCTATTTCTGGTCACTTTTACTTTTTTTTCTTTCAAATTTCCGATTTTTTTTTTCTTGACAATTTCAAACAACCATCTGTCTAATGTAATCTATCAGCCAAACCCTTATCACTCATTTGGCGCACAATAGGTGGAGAGGTAAGCATCGTAAAATCTTCCAACTGAAAATGATTGACTGCCCTCAACAATCTGTGGGTACCAAAATCAAAAAAGAGAATGCTGATTGCCTGTCACTTCTGAACCAACACAGCAACGAGGTTTCAGTCGGTTGTCTCACTTACAAATGATTCTGGTTTTTAAATTGCTTTCACTTATAACACTGCCTGTAAACAACAAGATAAAAATGGATTAAAAATTAAATTGCTCTTTTCCTTATTTGTTTGAAATCTTGATAATGGTAGACATTATCGGTTGCTTCAGATGCAAATTTTATGCTTCAGATCAAAAGCAATTATATATTTTTTGGTTTTGTATTCGCCGCCGATCATAGTGTTTCTGCTCTTTATTGTTTCATCTCTTTAATTTCTCCTAATTGCGCCTTAACTGAAAAAACTTTAAACCTTTCAAGTGCAACTTAAAGGTGTTTTTAAACTTTAAAAAGCAGACTTTTGAAGCAGTTAACTAAATTAAAAAACTTGACTAATTTTAATTAAAAAATTAATTATTTATAAATTTAGTACTAAACAACCTTTAATTTTGGTGATTACAATGGGAATCAAATTTCCACTTGTCAAAATTATCTCGGTTAAACTTTGATTTTGATTGCACTGAGGTAAACTTGAAAAATGCTATTGTTTAGTATGCTAAATTCTTCCTTTCCAGTTCTAAGAACTGATATTCTTT